TTCACTCAAAAGGCAAACAAGTTTGCATATTTAACGGGAAATTAATTGTGCGAAATAATGATGAATTTTAAATGAAATTATATACAAATAGTTATTATGCGCTTGAATGTGTAAAATATGTTAATTAAAATGCCAGCAGATATCATTGCTTTTAAGTGGGAAATGAATCAGTCTCAAAAAATATATTTTCACTTTTTTTGTACAAAATCATTTTCATGGTATTTTTTCCATGCAAACAAAATATGCATTGGATATTTGCGCTATCGACGCGAAAGTCATAAAATAATTCTAACTTTTTACCCGCTCAAATGAAAATGGAATCTCACCAGTGGATATATTCAGTGCGCTCTGAACGCAGAAGGTTTGGAAACGAGTGTTCCAAGAGTGGAAGAGCTCAGACGTTTTATTTTTTGTCAGGAAGGAAAGCTTGATAAGAGTTTGAGAAGAACTCTGGGAGTGATGTAAAATTAAATATATGAAAAGTTATCCATTTCGGGGTTTCAAAAGCGCAGGGTTGCATTTTAATATCTGTCAAACTCAACTCTCAAACCAAACAAGTTTTGCTTTAGTTGAAATTTATGAAAATTAAGCGCTTGATATCGTCCAATGCTAATTCAAAGGTGGCCAAATTTCGTGCTTTAAGAAGAGATTACGGTACACATAATCGCCCAATTACTCAAGCAAGTGGTAAAATTTGAAAGAAATACGGAAAGATGGGAACGTTAATAGATATTGTACGACCTGTGCATCATCGTTTTGTTCATTATCTCACACATTGCTACTATAAGCGAGAGTGTAGCCGAGAACCCGTATGTGCCTATCTGTTGATGTACTCAAGAGACTTCTTCGACTTCATCAAGAAGGAACCACATGCTTCATAACACGAGCGAATATGCTGAAGAACCACACCACATATGCCACAAGAAGAGAACAATTTCATAAAAAATAAAAAGGAATATCATTAAAAATATATTTTAAGCGTTTTATTTATGTGTATTTTCGAAGCAACAAAATGTCTCACCAAGTACGGTGTATGTAGTGGGAAAAGCACCAAGCTTTCTACAACACTTCGAATATTGAGCGCCTGATGTTCCTATTGTTCTTGAAGAATGCTCCATTTGAGAGCTGCCAAATTATTGGTGTAGTAAAAAGTAATCCATTATTTTTGCATGAAATTTAAAGCTTTAATTACCAGAGTTAAAATGATTCGATTCAGGTGAAATATAAAACATTTTTTTCGATAACGTTTTACCAATTTGAAGGTAATTTCCATTATGCTTCTCTTATAGAAGCCCTCGTTTCTATTGGGAAAAAATTTGAGATGGTCGATTTTCATAAGTCTCTCTTGAGGCGAATTTTTTACCAGCAAAACTGTTTGCCATGAACAGGAGCAGCTGGGAATCACTTAATGCAAGGTCCAGACTAGAGGATAGTTGTATAACAACCTTCGAACCAATCTCCCTAGCTTCGGACGGATCAAAAATGTATGACGGAATGGGCCTCAGAAACTAATGGGCGGAACTAGATCTCAGGTAGTCCTTCAAGCTTGTAGTGTACTTCACTATCTTTCAAGCGGAAACCTTCTCGGTTAGATAAGCTGCTGAGATAGCTAACAATGCAGGAAGCTATATAAACGCCACTAGCTGAGCGTCAGAAGCAGGGAAGCAGGAAGGCAGTCGTTGTGGCGGCTGCAGGAAATCGGCTAAATTTATACTAGGTTCCAGACCACAAGGGCATTCCGGAAAAAGGAAAAGGTGATGAGCTTCTCAAAAGTACCATACGACTGCCTAGCAAACTAGTATAAGAAATATGCGGATGCTAAAAACGATGCACAATACAATTTCCGTACAGGCTGGGTCACCAAGATCCGGTGCAAAAGCTCTAAACGAAAATACGCAAATTTTTTTTTGCCTCGAAAGGAGCTGTTGGCCTGAGATAGGTCAGAATCTACTGGCATCATTTGCGTACCGAATGGCCATTACTAATGATGATACATGCAGGAAGTGCAGGGAGAAAGACATAAGTGAGGCGCTGCAACACCTCCTCTGCTCCTGTTCGTCATTACCACCAGCACATCCCAGATATCTAGGAAATTTGCAGTTCAAAGAACTAGATCAATCAAATATGAAGCTTATCTCTTGAGCTTAAGTTCAAATTAAAATGAAAATTCATTTGGCATTACAAAAAATTAGAGGATCTAGTGCGACAGCCAGTCAGTGCAAACTAACTTAACCTAACTTTGGGAAATAAACCGTCTTCACCATATTCACGACCAGAACTATTTGCTTTCCACCCTCTGGCCTATGTGCCTGTTGGATTTGAGTGACTTTTGAGATCGATGAGACTATCCTCTTTGGTAAAGATGTTCCTTAACAATAATCATATAACCATCGGCTTCTATAAGGCTCAATAACTTTCCTCCACTCTCTCTCTCTCTCTCTCTCTCTCTCTCTCTCTCTTTCTCTCTTTCATTCCGCTGAGCTGAGTAACGAAACAAGGATTAACACATTTCCATAGGAGTGCGCGTCATTTGAAAAGTTACTTTCCGTACCCAAAACTTTGTAAATAAGAGAAAAAAAGAGTTCAGTTTGCATATGAAATTTTTTTGCTAAATATTTTATCTGAAAAAGAAAAGCGTTAAATGCACATTTACACGGCAACGCGGCTTTAATAGTATTCTAAATATTTCAAATATTCCAAACAAAGCTGCGCAACAATAAAAGCAAAAAATCAGCTATGAATTCGTAAAAGGAAAACGAATAAAAAAATGGAATTCAATTGAAATTCAAACATTAATTTCCGCTTGAAAATTGTTTACCCATCAACGTCAAAGGGTTCGCATGTGTTGGTGTGGGTGCGATTGCGAGTAAACACAGCGTGTTGCAAATATTTATACGTATATATATGTATGTATGCACGAGCATTGTTAAAAATAGTTGGCGCCCACCAATGGCAAATAGAAAAATATCAATCAGTTATTTGATGAATGGCTGTGGAATGGCAAATAGATAACCGCGCAACGAAAATGTAGCTTACACATACATACGCATGCACAAACACATACAAAAAAACAAACACACGCACTGTCTAACCACAAATGATGAAATTTTACAGTATAATAAAAGAAAAAGTTAGCAAATAAAGCAACAGTCGCTTTGAGAATACATACATGCACACACACTCGTATATATTTCCATTTTGACATAAATGGACGCTTGCTAGCACCTCGCCACATCAGGCACAGCTGTAACGGTAATAATAACAACAATAATAGCAATTACCACATAAAGAAGTGGTTGGCTGCTTTATGAGTCTTGCGGTTGACGTTGAACAATGTAATCTGGAACGCACACGCGTTTCCCCAAGTGACCGCCGACACAGCGCAACAAAGTGCAGAGCTCAATGGCAAATATGCAGGCAGGGAAAGGACTTACATGAATAAAAATGGTTAATGTCAAATGAGTACAGTGGGCTCTGTATTGTGGTGGATGCCTTGAGCGGAGTTTCTGTTGGGTTAGGCTAACTCATCACCTCTAACTCATCAGGTATCACTTGAAAGTCTTCTGGCTGCTCTGCGCCAAGTAAGCATAGGCTTTTTCACACATTCCCATTATTTCCCACACTTGTGCTGAATTTCAAGCCAAAAACGACAACAAGTCCTTTGTCAAACGAGTTAAAAAGAAGTACTGAAATCAGCTTTGCCCAAAGTTGAGATTGATGCGACAAAGTGGAGCTCCAATCCCTGGAATCGAATGTAGATTCTGTGGTGACAGCGAGTCTCCATCATAGCGGAAACCCCTTATCGATAGTGTATGAACGTCTAGCCACAATCCGTGAATTGTCATTCAATATTCCCGCTGTGAACACGTGAAGTCCAGTACCGACAACAATGCGTGAAGCATTGTAGTGAAATGGCAAGAAAACTCAGCATTTATGAAGAGACGAGTCGAGGCTGATTGGCTCAGTACCCTTAGAAACGGCTGTCGGGCGAGGAATACCTCGTTGTGGTCTATAGATAAAGATCCGTCTATAGATTATTCGATCCAAAGTATAAAAAATGCATATATCTCACTCGTTTGGCAGCTCTCTTTGGACCTTTAAAGCTTTTAATAACTGTCGTAGCGGGATTGAAATCAGTATTATTGTATTATAGAGCATAAGTCTTGCTCTCACGAAACGGAGAGAAGCAAGAAGTAGGTTATAGACATGATACGGCGAGTGTAAGAGTGCGGGAGAGAACTATAAAATTGGCGATTTTCAGTCGAACTTGACATTCCATGCCGAGGTGACCGCAATTAGAAAAATTACCTGTATAAAATTTTGGCTGTTGTTTGGAACGGGACCCAAACGTTTCTAATCACTTGGCTGTTGGGGCCACCACTATCTGAACTGTCCTTTTAATCATTTCCTCTGTTACGTGAAAGTGAGTAATTTTAACTGTTCAAATCATAGGTTTGAAACAAATGCTTCAGAGACTCGGCATGGGGCGGTCTTTAAGGTAGTTCAAAATAGCGAAAACATACTCGCAGAAAGATCCCATCGGACAGTGTAAGCTCAGTCTGAGTTGATCTTGTTTAAACGTTGTATTTAACTTGACTAAAAAATGTTTTTGAATTTCAAATGGTGGGTGAGATTACTTGACGGAAGAACCCAGCTATCAGTTCTTACGACTCTTTTCACAAAGAAGATACCACAAAATATATGTACCTATACGTCATCGGTAGGCTGTAGGGACTAATTAAAAATTTTTGGAAATAGCTTTTTATACTTTTATCATTGGAAAAAATAATTTTATAAAGAATTCACTGTAGTCACTGTATCTTTGTACCATACATACATACATTTGTAAGTATATTTCGTTCAGAAAAGAAATTTTACAAACATATTTATACATGTTCATATGTATTTTTGTAGCTGTTGTAATAAGAATTCACTCATTCATTCTTTTACTCATTCGTTCGCTCCTTCGCACACCCACACACACACATATACGCACTCACCTCATAGGAGCCGGCCGTATCTAGAATGTCCAGCGTGAGGCTAACGCCAGCTATAGAAAAGTTCCCCTGATGCATTTCCTCGATGGTCCTTTTGTATTTGGTTGTAAATGTGTTGTATAGAAATTGTGTGATTATGGAAGTTTTACCCACTTTAGCCGCGCCCATAACAACAATTTTGTGACGTGCATTTGCTGGTCCAATGGCGTCATCCACGGCATTGTTGCGGCCAACTCTGGAATGAAGTACAATAAAAGGGGGAAAAATTGAAATGCGTAGAAAAATTTGATGTAAACATAAATGAATAAATGCAAATAAAAATAAATTGACAAAAAAAGATATTAAATAAAAACCAAACGCACCCTGCCCAAATAAAAAATATTTAATTTTCAAGATTTTACACATAATTTGTACTAACAGTACCAAATTTCATATTCTTAGTCCTAAAATTGTAAGAGTTTTGACTGAAAAACTCATTTTTGAACGATAATTTGTATGAGAACTATATGTTACTGTTGTACGATTTCATTAAATTTCATTTTCAAGATTTCACTCATAATTTGTATTTAGAATACCAAATTTGATATTCTTAGTCCTTGAATTGTAAGAGTTTTGACTCGAAAACTCATTTTTGAACGATAATTTGTATGAGAACTATATGTTACTGTTGTACGATTTCATTAAATTTCATTTTCAAGATTTCACTCATAATTTGTATTTAGAATAACAAATTTGATATTCTTAGTCCTTGAATTGTAAGAGTTTTGACTCAAAAACTTACTTTTTAACAATATTTTGTGTGTACGCTACATTATTTTATTGCACAATTTGGGTAATTTTCACTTTAAATATTTAATTGATGAAAAGTAGGTAAAATACCTACCAAAAATCCTTTTTGTAATTATCACTTTATATCCGATTTCGCTGAATTCTATGTTCTATATATATGGAATACCAAATATCATTTTTTTAACTGCTGGTTGACTGGTTGAATTTTGACTCAAAAACCCTAATTTTGAAGTATTATTTGTATGGAAGCCTATATGTAAATGACATCCGTTTTCGATGAATTTCATTTTCAAAATTTTACATGTGATTTATATATGGAATACCAAATTTCATTCTCTTAACTGCTAAATTGGTTGAATTTTGACTCAAAAATTCATTTTTGAACGTTTTTATATATCGAAGCTAAATATATTTTATGGCCTTGATATTCCAATTAACTACACAAAGCGTGTAACGATTGAAATTGTTAAATATAAAGTACAACATGTTTTCACACGTAAAACATGACACCGTTATTAAACAGTGTATTAAGCAATGCCAAGTAACTTCTAAGTGCGTACGCTCCCAAACGTCAACGCACCGCTAACAAATAGCTTAGACACGGATAGGACTAACCGCATTTTACTTTTAAACGATTTTCTCTTTACATACATGTATTCTTATGTATGTATGTGTGTGCAAAGACAGGAAGGAATAGCATTTTGTATTAGGCGTGCGGTTTAAATTTTCTAATTAAATTGTGGCAAGATGATTTATGATGATGCCAAAGTTTCGCGGCACTGTCAAATATGTCAGCGCTGGCCGCATAGGCGGAAGGCAGCAAGGCAAGCGGAATACACGAAAGTGCGTTTACAAACTGTATTTGCTTAAGTAAGCCAAAGGTGAGATAGTAAACTCAATTATAAAATGAAACAACGCAGGTAGGAGTACATACATATGTATGAGTATATTTTTTGGGATATTTCATATATGGAAAATGAAGGCAGCTTTAGATTGGTGTTGAATATTTTAAGGCGTAATTTCTGCTAAAAATACCGATGGGAATTCAAAAAAAAAAAAATAAATAATAATAATAATAAATATATATATTATATTAATTTATAAGCCCCAGCCATTTTAAGAACTTAAATAAAGTCAAAAATATCCATTATAATTCAAGATTTTTTATATGTAATATGTAACAATAGATCAAATCATTTTTTAAAATCAGATGAATAGCCAAATTCTTCGGAAAGGTATTTTAGAATTTTAAGCTGTAAACTGACGCTGGACAACACCAGTAGCGCAATTAGAATCGGGTAGAACCTCTCGGAGCCGGTTCTTCGAGACGAAATTTCAGACAGGATGACTCTTTATCTTGTGAGGCCTTCTTCCTCCTGACTTGACAAAGAAGGGATGAAAATAGCTATGGTAGTAAAGAAGGATAAGACGAAATATCTCTTGTCATCAAACAAATAGAAGTCACATTCGAAACTACGTCACTGCTGACAATGGTAACGAGTACGTAGATAATCTCGTCTATCGCTTGAGCTTTTGCAAAGCGCCAATTACAAATATTTCTTATTTATTATTTATTATTTATTATTTATTATTTATTATTTATTATTTATTATTTATTATTTATTATTTATTATTTATTATTTATTATTTATTATTTATTATTTATTATTTATTATATTTTTCCGAAAATCTGTAATGGATCCGACAAACAGTCTTGGAGATATGACCATATAATTAAGGTCATCTCGGGACGTTCGAGGATAAGCGAAGTGAAGCGCGAGGCAGAGTAATTTAACTTAGAAGAACTCCTCGAAACACTGTTTTCAGAGTCGGTGAATCGGCTTGAATTTTTCACATGACCTTCTAAGACATATTTGTAGGTAAGTGTTGAAGAATAAAATTTTTGACAATAATATCGACACTTTGAAGTGTAGAACTTCTCCCAAAAATGTTTTTTTTTAGAATCCGCCATGTCGTATGAGCGATTTTTTTTTGATAACTATCAAATTGACAAATGTTTCTGAAATGAAAATATTTTAATAATTGTTGAGAGAAGAAATCACGCTAAGAATTCATCAAAGTTTTCGTACAAAAAAGATTTTTTCGCATTCTGAGCTCACAAAGGAATGTGATGTGCTGGCATATTTAATCAATCTTAGCGTGAAAATCATACCAATTCCTGCACACACACACACACACACACTCCTCCACACGCACACATACCAAAACATTTGAATCGAAATATTCACGATGAAAATGTCACTTTCAGTGCTATTTCTCTATTTCTCTTTTACTTTTCGCCAAACGGATTGCCTGAATGCATTCTGCTGCACTAAAATAACACAAAAACTTTTCAACTGCCAGGCACATACATACACATATGTTAGGTTGTATGAGTGCCACACTTGCATAATTACTCATATACGCAAACACACAAGCATACACGCATATGTGTATGTGTATGAAAGTTTGCAGAAATTTGCTTGAGTGTCGCTGCCACACCTTGACTTGAGATGTGACTTGACGTGCCAACTTTATTAAAATACAACAAAGTCGTAGTCGAAACTAAGTCAAAACTCAATGAAAACTATAAACTGAAGAGAGAAACAGAAACGGCAACAACAGCAGCGGTAGAACAGCCCGAAGCAACAAACTAACGCAACTCTACTTGAATGACTTGATAAACTTGCAGCAGATGCAGGCAGGAGGAGCAGCAAAGCTTTAGTGCATGGCGTTAACTTGGCAATACAAATACAAAAAAAAAGAAAGAAAAATAAAATAACAAAATAAATACAAATAAAATAAACGGGTAAACTTATTTATGTGCTTTATTGTTGTTGTTGTTGTTATTTTCACTATCGCTTCTTACATAGCCTGCCGGCGGGAAAGTACGAATGTGAATTTCACACTCATTTGTTGATGAAAGGATTGTGCGCATATAATGTTGCATCACTGCGGCTGTTGTTTTTGTTGTTCTTCTTATCTACGTTTCTTAAACTTATTTATTTTTTGTTTTTATTTTTTCATATTTGATCTGCAAGCCACAATGGTTAAAAGTGTATGTAACTTTAATTAAAACTTTATTATGCATTACATTCACAACCGAGACGACATACAATGGGTATAGGTACATATATACATATGCATATAAAGGGTGTTTTTGTTGGACATGTGGTTTTCAAGTAGAAATAAAACGCACACTAGTTGACGGTATGGCCAAGAATTTGGCTTTATTATAAAGGCAAGAGTTTGACATTGGAAAAGGATTTCGGGCAAGTCACGGTCCCAGTTGGCTCGGATAATCACCAGCCGAGAGGCACAATTTTCAACCACTTTTTGCTGCAATCGATGCTTCATATCAGGTGTACAACTTTGCTTCCTCCGTTTTCCGATAGGAGGGTGTACCGGCTGAGGCAGGTTGAAATACATAGATGATAATGCCTTTAAAGTGAGTGTGGACAGTGCCTAATGAATTGTCATGGCCGTTTCAGTGACAGTTGTTCTTGTTTTCGTATTATTCACCCTCGAAAATGTACGTTTATGTGTCTAATTCGCGCCATTTTTGGGAGGTTTCACTTTTCTATTACAATTCGATAAAAAAAATGCAGCTGAAGCGCATCGAATGCTCTCAGAAGCTTACGGTGATGCTGCTCTAAATGAAAGAACGTGTCGGTAGTGGTTTCAACGTTTTAAAAATGGTGATTTCGATGTCGAAGACAAACAAGGTTATGATTTGTATTTGGTGGGATCAGCTCGGGGTGATTTACTATGAGCTCTTAAAATCGGGTGAAACCATCACAGGAGATCGCTACCGAACGCAACTGATGGGCCTTAGGCGCGCGCTAAAAGAAAAGCGGCCACACTATCAAGAGCGACATGACAAAGTCATCCTCCAACACGACAATGCTCGGCCTCACGTCGCAAAAGTGGTCAAAAAGTACCTGGAAACGCTGAAATGGGAAGTCTTGCACCACGCGCCGTATTCCCCAGATGTCGCCCCTTCTGACTTCCACCAATTCCGTTCGATGGCACACGGCCTGACAGATCAACATTTTCAATCCTTCGAAGAATTGGAAAAATGGATGGCTTCATGGATAGCGTCAAAAGAGGACTCCTTTTTTCGCGCCGGGATCCGCAAATTGCCGGAAAGATGAGAGGAAGTTGTCGCTAGCGAAGGACAATACTTTGAATAATATATCTGTAAACACTTTTTCGCAATAAAGCTTTTAATTTTGAAAAAACGGCGGAAGCAAAGTTGGACACCTAATAATGTATGATAATTAATAATACGATGACTATTCTCTTACGAGATTTTCAAGCTAAAAAAAATATCGTCCAGCTGTGTTAAATCGCATGATCTTGGAGGCCAGGCCTGTCACATTATTGCCGGTGTCATTTGTTAGGAAATATGACTGGAAAACGCTTACAAATCTTGAGTGTTACTCC